CCAAGAGAGCAAAGAAGGGAAGAGATTGTCAAAGCGTTAAAACACGCCAACGCCAGGGAACGGCTGGCATCGTCCGGGCGTTAAAACACGCCCGCGCCAGTCAAAGAGTTAACCTCAATGCATACAGATGAAGTGTGATGGAACATAAACTGTACATTGGTTTCAGAACATCTTGCTCAAATCAAAACATGTTATATATGAGCCATCATTCTCATCTATGTCCATAAGACAAAAATTGTTAACTTTCAGTTCATCCAACGGTTTTCCATAGCCCCCCCCCAGTCATTATATAATTTGTTGCTTGTCAAATTCAGTTTATCTATGTAAGATTTTAGGCTTTCACAGTGGTGACTATGAAGAAAGCAGTCTTCTGGGATTTGGCACCGTGTATATGTGGTGTTAACCGACGTTTTGGAGGAACGTCAGTTAACACCACATATACACGGTGCCAAATCCCAGAAGACTGCTTTCTTCTCAGTTTATCTAATCTCCTCACCATGTAGATATCTTGCCCCATTTTCACCATTCTGTATGGAGCCATTTTAGCTAAAAAAATTACATCATTTGTCTAAAAAACTTGGACATATTTTGGTGTGGATAATCTTACAACATTGTCAGTAGTTAATCTACATACTGGAAAGACATGGTTATGGCCTAGTTGAGGTACTATTCTGACATTTACCTGGAAAGACCAAAGAAAACAACAAAAGACCTCTGTCAGGATAGTAGACATCCTGGCCGAGACTTAACTGTACAACTCCCAAATACAAATCAAGACTACTGCCTGCACACCAACCCACTTGGCATCTGCAATTTGTAAGCGGTTACAATTAACCCTTTCACTGCTAGTATGTTAAGTAACTCTCAGTACCCTCTGTGCTGAATTATTTTTGAATAAATCTTTTATAAATAATTTAAGTGCAAAGTATGAAAATTTGTGATAAAATGTAACTAATCTTACCTCAGACAGGGAACAGGCATCAGAAGTTGCAAAAATGTTGAATTATTCAGTATTTTTCACAGGGGAAAGGTCCATTAAAATTAGGGCTGTCCAAGATGGCCAAAACAAGTACATAATTCACTATCCTAGTCTTATCACTATGTCACATGTTGACCAAAGTCTGCAGCTTTATTTGAAACTATTAGCACTGCACACTATACAAAGCCATTTTTACTATCCCTGTGAAATACCCACGTCACATGACCACGGAGCGTGTGCCTCACTGTGCAGATGCAACCTTGTAATTTCTTAAGCTAGAAGGCAGAAGAATGCACCCATTGAAATGAATGATACTCCATTATGTTCCCAATAGATGACTCTATGCATCCCCCAAGTTTGAATGAGATTAGTGCAAAGAAACCTGAGATTTGAAACTCTAAAGTTGCAATATGGGTTTTGTCGATCACAGCAAGGATGCCATGTTTTTCAGAGGTCGATATATGTCGACTGCAGCAGTGTAAGGGTTAATGGTATTAAAAATTGAATTACGTATTTTTCAGAGAAAATTAAAATCACTGAAACCAGAGAATAACAAAAATAAGCAAAAACTATCAGCTACACATCCAGTCTGGGAACACACTGATTGTGTGAGCCAGGAGATACCTGTATACAGAAACAGGGAGAACAGAAGGGAATTTACTTTTATATATATTATAAATGCATCTATATGTGTAGTGGGCACACAGTACAAAAATAAACTTGTAAATAATGAAGAGAAATATAATAAACGACAATTACGCAAAAAAGTTTAATAAACACTAACCGAATTTCCAAACTTTTCTCTAAGTTTGTACACATGATGGAACAAATAATACAGACAGGTCTAGCCTTCACACTTGCACTGCTTGGAACCTTTTCATTACTAAAGGCAATCAATCCTTCTCTACACCAAGCACATCCTGCAGTAGACAGAGATGATAAACAGTTCACATTCTTCTTTGAGGCAGCATGTGTCCTTTGCATTATAGACCTTCTCAGACTCAACATGGAATTTTATATCGGTATACCAACTTATGCTGTAACCCAGTGTCTGGATGTAGAACTTCTCTCCGAAACATAAGTAGTACTAAAAATTATATTTTCTGGTTTACTTCAAGATCATGCTAATTATATGAGCCCACACAAAGAAATGTATTACAATTATTGTAAATATGATATGCAATAAAATAACTTAAATGTACCATCAAATGGAGTTAGCCACATAGAAGCCATGGTTCTGTAATTCCTCCTGCAATGTATACATCTGACTTAACATATATCATCACTTAAATTTGCTTCTCAAGAATGACTCTGCTTCAAGGACACCATTTTAGTTAGTTTCCCAGTTTTCAAATGATACCTGAGCTAGAAGAAAATACAACTGCTACTAACTAATGCATTAGCATAGTTTCAATCTGTTTTTTATGTAGAGGTCACCAAATGTTCGCTCACTTCACTGAACGAACAAGAATTTGACTTCTCCGACATTTTTCCATGAAACTAGGTACATGTACCCACCCAGATTTAATTACTCCACAATGCTTACAACCACATAACATACAAGACATAAAATACTGTCCTTTATATTAATTATGTAATATACACAAGGTATCACCTGCTGATGTCATTGGGAAGGGAAAAGAAAGACAGACAGACAGAGACAGAGAGGGAGGGATATAAGAGATAAAGTAAACAAATAAATTTGATTTCTTTCACATTTGATGGCCTTCGTTTTTCACTTATGATGGACAAGCAGACAAATAAGTTTGCTGGGTCCCAGTTATACACATACAAAATCCAGTCATGTATACCTGCAAATGTCAAATAGTTTGTAACAGAAGTAAGAAAATTATCACACAAACATTATAAAACTAATGAAACTAGTTCAATTTATCCAACTTCTAAACTTATTACAACAGACAGGATCACTTGAGAATAATACTCATAAGTAAGGAAAATTGAATCTGTCCACCATTGATCCCCCCCCTCCCCAAAAATAAATCAAAGCATCAAGAGAAGATGTAAAAGGATGCCATTTTAAGCAAATGACAACAGACATTAACTCATTTGTTATGTCACAATTTAGCAAGATGATGACCTGCATAATGAGACCGGCAAAGGTGTGCAATCCAACATGTAGTATACAAAAATTCTTTGTGTTTGATTAAACTTAACCTACATGTGGCCAGTTTATGAATGACAATTCCACAAAATACAAAACATACCAGATAAAATGAGTGAATTTCAATGTCAACAGCACAGTAATGCATAAATATCAGATCACAACATAATCCACAGAAAGTTTATGGGATACATGGGAAAAGCCCATTTATGAAAAGTAGACTTTGTAATTTGATAATATGGCTAAGAATTAAAATGGATGATTAACGTTAGACAACTTTTTATGACATACACGCAAACGTTCTCTTATGAACACTACGCTTTCTATAGCTGAAAACTGACCAAAAATATTTAGAACAATTCTTGTACCAAATTATGGGGGGGAAGCCAACAGTTAGGCCCTGACACAAGGTTAACTGGACGGAGAGACAAGACCTCCACGTAAGATATTCTTTGCTTCCGTTTCACAAAGAACACCTAAAAACTGACACCTGAGTTGTATTCCTGCACTACACATACTGATTACAAAATTCTGTAGAACACGAGATCCTTGAAGAAAACAAGAGAGATAGAATTTTGCGGTTGGTCTTAAGCATTACCACGGTAACCATTTAAACAACACTACAGACACTCCATGTAGTGACTCAACATATTTTTACTATAACAAGACAAGAACAAGGTCCAAAAACCAAACTGTACACCAGAGTGTTTCAGTGGTCCAGTGACCGATATCTTATTATGCATTCCCTTCCCTCTGCCTGAAAGAGAAACAAGCAGCTTCTGAAACAATCTTAATATAAAACCTAAGACAATGGACAAAGTTGAGAGTAAAAAGAACTGACCATGATAGGCCTTCATTAAAAACACAAATTAAATCTGACAGTTAACAATTCATTAAAACACAATTTCAAGATTACTGAATTTCACATTTTTATTTATAGTTGATTACAATTCAGCGTAATAGCATGAAGAGGTATTAGATCTTTCAACGTACAAGCCTCAATAGAAGAGTACCATACTGCTATACCCAAAATATTCCTATCAAAATAATGGAAGGTAAACATATTATGTAATATCTATACTGCCATGCTTAAGACTAGTAACTTCCTAACTAATCACACATACACTTTGCAAGTGCCCAGTAATCTTCCAGTTGCCTAGAAATTTAAAAGCGTTAAAAGTTTATTCAGATTATATCAAAAATTAAATAAAAGCATTAAACTGAGTGATGCAACCATTTTCCTAGATGATACGAGACATGATTAGTCATGGCTTGGATAATGGACAGCAGTGAACTGGACCACTTCCAGCTAGGCTTCCCTAGGATTTCTAGGTTTCTGAGCTCATTATCTAGCATTCCGGACAGAACTCAACCAAACCAAACTGGATCTGTTTCTGCCCCTTGGTGAGAAATGGGGGGGGGAGCTGCTTATTCTGTTGGGTCCATTAGAAAAAGAGTTATCTCGATCAGTGGATAAAAAAATTAAATAAAATCAATCACTAGACCCAGCTCCAATCAGCTCCTTCTAACAGACCCAAATGAGCAAGCATTTCTGCTCCTTCCCATCTGAAGACAAACAGTGTTTTGTTTGGAATACTACATGATGGATAAAGTCCAGAAATCCAGCAAACCTAAGAGTAATAATACACCACTGCCAGGCCCTTTTAAGAAAGGTTTGCTTGTCACCTTGTGTACATGAGTAATCATTATCAGATCAAAATGAAATATACACAGCAGGAGGACACAGAAATTATTATGGTCCCCAAGTGGTTACATCACCACCTCCTCCTAGGGGTGCTGCATAAAATCTTCCATGGTTAGAACATTTAGAACTGAGCGTCTCTTCAGATTACAGAGAAGCAGGAGAACAAAAATATTGTCATACAAAATGGGAAAAAATAAAATTCAAAATGAGCTAAAAAACCATTTCAGATGGTGCTGTCCTGATTGTGTGTTGTTTGAAGGCAAACATAAGAAAGAAAAACATATTACAAATGTTATTTCCCCTGTAGTAACAAATTATCTTTCAATTCTTAAAAACTGACAGCTTCCTAATGACAGAGAGTTGTCAATCCTATATTATATGTGAAAGAGAAACCCAATTCTATGTTCATTTGGTACACATTTAAAATATGCACTTAATGCATATTCTTGTTCACTCTTTATGTTGTACATATTGTACACATCCTTGAGACCATAAGTGCTGTAGCATCAATGTTTAAAATTCCCTCCAGTTAATCCAAAATATGTTGAATTGTAGAGAACTATTCATACACCACTCACTTCAGTAGTCCCTTAATTTAATTAATTCACAATCTTTTTCTTACAGCTATAACCATTGCTCACAAACTTTCTAACAAAAATCTTCTGAAAATAATTTAACAAGTGAAAAATGTGAGAGGAATAAAGACAACTGCTTCAAGTATCTGATGCCATATAGTTCCATCAACAGGTACAGTTCAGAGGAATGCCTCTACACTGAAGACGCAGACAGCAGGTTCCTCTGAAATACTGATACCTACCTACATCACATACTTGAAGGCAATAATCTTAATTTTCACTGCCATGGAAACTTCATTTTAAGGGAATCTAACATTGCAAAGACAGTAAATTGTTGTACTTAAAAGTTGCAAGATTTCAGTCTCTTGCAAACACACAACAAAAGTATTGCATAGTAGCTCTATCTGTAAATGAGGCACTAATACATGGAGTAATCTGGTCAGAATTCAAAACAATGATGTATGTCGCATATTCAGAAGGTTTGTACGTCACATGTAAAATACTATGGGCAACATTCAGAAGCGTGCACGGATGTAAACTGCCGAAGCATCATGTTCTCCATAGCCGAGTCTCTTCGCATGCTTGAACAATTCATTGGTTGATGCTGTCAGAGGCAATGGCTGCTCCAACTGGTCTCCCATGTACAGAGATAATTTCAGGTCCTTTTGCATATGCTGCAGGGGCAGATGCGTTGGAAATCCACCTTCAATGATGGCTGAAAGTTAAAAAGAAACACTTCTTCCACCACTTGACAAATCAATTTCAAATCATGCAGAAACAGGGCCCACTGAAAGTGTCTTTAACAGAGTTCAAGCATATCACCATCATCATGCCCAATCACACTTCCCCAGAACTAAATATCACATTATCCATTGAGCAGATTCGATGCTATAACAAAATTCAGCGTTCTGCCGCAGAACGTAGAGTTGTAACACTTCTACTTCAACCTCTCTGCTCTTAAAATTCATACATATCTTGTGGGCTAAAGAAATGTATTCACGGTGGTTTCTTCCTTAGTGACGCGATGTTTCAGACATTTATCAAGGATGAAGCAAAACACTAGTGGTTTCTTCAGACACCTAATCTGAACTTCACTTACTGCCATTCTAATATTTATATATCAATCATAATATCAAAGCACAGACAAAATTATATAATTATGTTAGCTGACAGGTCACTAGCAAATCACAATATTCGATTTCATGACTAATTTTTTATGACTATATGTCCTTGTCAAGTGTGTCCAACTAGTTCAGTCATTTATGGCAGCAGTGTTCGTAACATCTTCAGTATATTAAACAAACCACACAGAGGTGATGATCGCCTCTGTGGTCTGGTTGTCAGAGTTCCTGGCTACAGATCCAGAGGTCCCCGGTTTGATTCCCGGCAGTATCAGATTTTCTGGGGAACAGGGTCTGGAACAGGGTCCACTCAGCCTCATGAGGATACCTGAGTAGCTAATTGAATGCAAAAGTAGTGGCTCCAGACTAGAAAACTGAAATTAACGGCCATGGGGATTCATTGCGCTGACCATGCCACACCCTTTATCCACTAAAGTTGGCATTAACTTTGCTGACAAGCATCGGTCACTTGGTCGGTATAGTTCGCTTACGGACTAAAGCCACAGAGTTTGTTTTGTTTGTATACAGAGGTAATTAGAGTATTTCACAAAGAAACTGTTACACTGCAAACCAGCAAAGTACAATATGCAGCTAGATACATTGTTCATAAGCTTCTTGTCATCCCAACGGCCACTTTAATATGTGTAAAAAGTAACTGCAACCTTTAAATATAACATATAAACACGAGACAGGGAAGGCTATCTGTTATGAACACTGAACTTCAGGTTACCATAACACGTGCAACAGGATGGAGAGACAGAGGATGACTGCTCTACTCAACCAATGATGATACATATTCCACACAGCAAATCAGCACTTGCTATTATGCAATTCATTTCTTGACAGAGTATAATCATCCAGAACATTTTAAGAACTATGAAACGTAACAAGTTGACAGCAGAAGTGCAACACACTGGATAGTGAAATACGTACTACATCATAAAAACGGGCGGTGATGAACCGTAACTGGCAGTGCTCCCTTGAAGCTATTACTTGTACTACACATTTTGGCACGTTATCAAAAATGATGTGCAACCAAGAAATACGAGATGTAACAACCAACTTGTGCGGTAACCACAACCACAGCTATACACACACAAACCATTCATTCATTTGAATGCATTTCAATAGATTGAATTAAATGTATTTCTAGCATTATGTATGTCAAAATTCATCATGCAGCAGATTTTCAATAACATGCAAATATGTTACGGTATGAAATTGAGATTCTGTGCTTCCTTGCTGCAGCAAGGTATTTACCAGAACCAAAAGAGTGACCACATTAACTTACCTTTTCCCTTTTCAAGGATGGTGGGGCATGCTAATGATGTAAGTTCCAACACTTCAAGGACATCCTTCTGCTGAAGACCAGCCCTATCTGCCAATGCCATACCTTCAGCAAGTCCAGCAAGAGTCACTCCTGCCATCAGCTGCAGCACGAGATTCATTTTGGATGCATTTCCAACTTCTCCTGTAACAATTGCAAACAGGCACAAAGCTATATAACACTGCAGTCTCACACAGGATTAACAACATCCATATTGAACATCAAGTGTGGTGGGCCCCACTTGGCCATAACTGTATTTACTGTACTTAATGTTCTAATTAATGGTTAACTTCTGAAGTTATAAATCTTTTAAATATTAGGTAGAACCCTTTGGACAGGGAATTAGCCCATCAAGAGGTCTCTACCTACAGAGGACAACATGAATGCAGATAAAACTTGGACAGAAATCCATGCCCTAAGTAATACTGAAATTCACAATCCCACATTTTATGTAGCCAGAGACTTCATTGCTTGCAACTGGCTTCTGAACTTAAATTATCAGTAATTGAAGCATCAACGCTTCAGATGTGTTTAGGATTGATGTCATGAGGACATGAGATCTAAAGTAAAACCTATAGCTATGTGCGGGGCCACAGAAATGTCACTATACTATTGATACTAACCAAGGTAAAAAGAGTTCTTGCCCATTGCTTTGAAACAAGACTGGCAATCGTCAAAGAGTGACCGATCGCCTGCTGCGAGGATCACCAGGGTTCCTTCTTCTGCTTGCGTTTTACTGCCCTGCACTTGTGCTTCAAGGTAGCGTCCACCTTTTGCATTGATGGCCTGCGATCATACAATAAATATATACATTACTCTTGTCTCCCATGCATGCTGCATGTTTCACACATCTCATCTCCCTTTAATTTCATTACCCTAATATTATTCAGTGGAGAGTACACAAATTATGAATCTCCTAATAAGGAGCAACTTTTTCCAGCTACCAGTTACTTCATCTCTCTTAGACTATGACACGTACCCACATTCATATCAGATGTAAAACAGTTACAAACCTCAGCAATGTCTTGAGAAGTTTCTGCATCAATTCCAGTCATTTCAACATAGCCTTTTGCAGGTGATATCTCGAGCAGAACGCCACAGTTGCCAAAAACCATCTACAACATAACATCCACACTCTGCAACTTATATGGTTGGTTGGCAATATAGAAACTACACTCTTCTATTCACAAACATATCAATCTTCTGGGATATAACACTGTGCAGTCCACTGAAAATCAAATGATGTTTATTGGGAAAATTCTGCTTCCATCTCCAGGCTCCAAGAATAAACCGAGAAAGAAGCCGGCATGAAGCAGGCAGAGAGAACAGCCCGACTTAACATATCACATTGCACCATATCCCAGAAGATACAACTCTTCACAACACTCTCAGAACCGAAAATTTGTTATACTCTATTTAAGATTCCCATTGCATTAATATACTCTCCATGCATACACTATACTTCCGTCCACAATGAAACCAATTTATTATCTCCCTCTCCTCCTGACTTCATGTTTCGGCTGCATACGGACATCATCGGGTGTCAATATTTGCTAAAACTGTTTCTCTGTGTAGTGTATGCAACTTCACCTATCACATGTGAATCTGATATCTCACACTTTTATCCTTGAGTTTGAATATGTTTTGCAGTGGCATGAGTGTTGTGTATATGTAGCTCCCAATTGTGTTGGTGCAGTGATCACGTATGTCCATTTGACATCTTCAGAACGATATTATTTACTAAGAAACATACTAATCTACATGAAAATTTTTCTACCATTCTTCAGTACACTTAATGAACTTCAATTTCTCTAAATATGAGAAAACGTCACTAAATAAATGGAAGCATAAGAAAGAAAACATGCGTTCATATTATGGATTTCTGCATCAAGACACCTTGCAGTCTGGTAGGTGTAACCCAGTGTTTTGGAAGAATATAATGTCTGCATATTCAGAGGAGAAAATGGAGGCATTATGATCTGAAATGCTGCTAACCACACACTGTGCTACATAGCAGCAGAAACTCAGGAGACCACAATCTAACTTTTCACCACTGTGAATCTCAACGAGATTATGTCAATGAGGAATAGATCATATTCCCGCATGTTGGCAGCAGAAACATGTCTCGCAATCTGTGTACTGAAGAAAAGATCTAAATTCTTATGGAAGGAGTTGCATTACATCTTTGGCAGCTTGAGGGTCTGCAACACACGAGAAAGTAATGTCGGCAGCAAGGATAACATCCGAGGGTGTTTGCCCTTGCTCAGCTCCTGCCTTCACAAAGTCTCGACACTGCAACAGAGAAAACACAACTAATAAATCCAAAAGATCCTAACATGACACTTATCACAACATATGATAACATTTTGGAACTAGAATAATCATAACCTATAAAAGTAAAAAAAAAAGTAAGGCTATCCCTGTACCAGGCTGTGGAGGCCCATAGGGTTGTGAGACGTTGAGGGTCCCACATTATCTAGACAATCGGCTCAAAGATGGCGGTAAGATTGTCAGCCTTACACGCCAGCTGCACTTTACTCCCCAGAAAAATTATTTAATTAATTCCTGGTGCTTATTTCTGTTAGAGGCTGAGTCAACCCCAGGTCCACAGTGCAGCTGGAAGCGTTGGATCAATCGAAAAAATCCAATGACCTCACTGGGGCTTGAACCCGCGACCTTCCGGCTTGTAGCATAGCCCCTCAACCAACTACGCTACCGTCAGCCCCAATTATAACCTATATTAATGCATAACAATTTTATTAATATCCTGAGGTACAATAAATCCAGTACATGCCCTCCCACTCTATTCCTTCAAGATCCATCTTAATATTATTTTCCACCTATGGATGGCCTTTTTCCAACAGGTCCTCTGACCACACTTCTGTATGCATTATTTCTCATCTCTGTCATGCATCCTCTTCTACATTGCATCACCCATGTAATTATGAAGCCTATCATTATTCAAATTTTCTCTATCTCCTTGTTAAATTCTTTCTCTCCCTTTGGTTCAAATATTCTTCTCAGTACACTGTTCTCAAACATCCTCAATTTCTGTTCATCTCTTCATGCAAGGGGCCAAGTTTCACACCCATAGACACCAATACACAAATTATATAGGTTTTAGTTGATGGGACTTATTTTTCTGATTTACCTATATTAATCAAGGAGGATGAGATGAGCAGGGCATGTAGCACGAATGGGGAGAGTTCATATAGGATATTGGTGGGAAAGCCAGAACGGAAAGAAAACTCTTCAAAGACCAAGCTGTAGGTCGGTGGACAATATATTAAAATAGATCTTAGAGAGACAAAATGGGGTGGTATGAACTGGATTGATCTGGCTCAGGATAGGGGCCAGTGGAGGGCTCCTATGAACACAGTACTGACACTTCAGGTTCCATAAAATGTTGGGAAATTCTTGAGTAGCTGCACAACTCGCGGCTTCTCAAAAACGACTCATCTCCAATGGAAATAAACTACACGCGAGTATACTTCGGCGGTAATTTATGTCATATTATAATGAAGTGATCGATACTGTTCGTCTCTTTTTCTGTAATATTTGGGAAAGATAAAATGAATTGGTGAACAGCAAGCATTCATCGAATTTAATCTGCCCTTAACATCTTCATTCCTGCAATTTTGATTTGTTACACTTCCAAGGTTTAAAAATTCTTCTTAAACAACCCAAATTAATTTTACATAACTTAAAGTTTCATACAACTGAGATATCCGGAAAAATATAAAAATGGCGGTATCATTAGCACTGGCAATCGACGAATCGCCACAATATGGTGTTACCTACTGGCAATCCCGGCCAGCAGTCATTTCAAATATCAATTAAAAATGCCGATTCTAATATGACATATTTCCATTATATTATGTTAAAACATTTCATTACATTTTATTTTAAGAGAGAGTGGAAGGAACAAACTGAACGTCCATACTGTAACCGGAACAACTCAATACTTTCGTTCCAACAGTTCCTACTAGATGGCTCACGAGTACCGATTGGGGCACAACAGCGACGCGTAAGCGAGTTCCAACTGCCACATCACCGTAATATGCTAATATCAGGAAGACATTCCGTTTGAATAGTGTTACAACTATGAACATACACGCATATCCATAGTCCAGAACTAAATTTCTCCAACATGTACGTATCTAATTGAATATTTGCGGTTGCTGGAGAATAACACAAACACGATAAGCAAAATGGCCATGAAAGTAATACTGCTGGCGACAGAGAAGCATGGCATATCGTCGGAATAGGAGGCTAGACAAATACCTCTATACGGTTTATCGTAACTACTGCGCCTATGCTAATCATGGCCTTGAAGACTCAGTAAAAGCGACGCAATATTAAGCTTAATTCATTAACATTGATACTAACTGCAACTCGCAATATCTTATTCGTTTATCAAGTACCCTGAGACAGCCACCCACGTAACTCCACTTTTTTAAACCCTATATTACACTTTTCTCAAAATATGTGACCTAAACTCTAGCTTTGTCTCAAGGACGCATGATAAACCTGTCAGTACGACAGCCCGCCACGTTGGGTGGAAAGTACATGCGTACAATATAACCACACGGCCCACATTAACTCCACATTTAAACTGCTTTAACCATCAGAAATATTACACTGTAGCGTCATATTGCAGTCAGCATCAGTTACAGCTTTATCTGCTACACTTCCTTGCACTTGTCAGTGTTTACACATTGAGAGTGCTTTCGTTGTACGTGTATGTCGTGTATTTATTTGCTGATGGCCGCAACAGACCAAAACATGTAGTGCATGCAAACGCATGGTGTGTTTATATACCAGAATTGTATCCACTAAGTAACAATAAGCATTGCTTTAACGTGAACTACAACAAGCTCTTTTGAAACATGGCATCCGACGCCGGATATATGTCCAAGTTTAGAACTACAGCATTTTCATGCTAGAACTATTAAACTTTCGAAGATAATTGCCTACCGAGCTGCGATGTCGTGTAACCTCAGAGAACATTAACGTTCTGCAATAAAACATGCATAAATCATTCCACTATTTATGAAAAAAAAAACGCATAAAACCAACGGATGATCGGTGTCCTACACCATTCTTTATCTTATCCGTCCACTGTTACGTTGTTTTAGCTCCAAGTTTCGTTACTAGGTAACGAGCACGAACCCATACTAAGCACTGAATTTCTTACTGTTATTATTACTACGTAATTGTAATTATTGTCATCATTACTCATTCGTGGTGCAGGGGTAGCGTATTTTCGAGTCCCGGTAGGGTCAAGAATTTTCTTTTCCAAATCGTCCTGGGGTTAAGGGGCCGGGGCCTGAAGCTGACCACTCACCTCTAGCTAGTGCTGAGGTCAAGAAAATGTGGATTTATACTTCCACTCAATGGCGCAGTGCTTAAGTCGTTAAGCACAGGGACAACTTTACCTCTTTAATCAGATGTTATAAATTGTCTTGTTTTTTGTACTTTGTGTCTGTTTCTTTGTTTCACTCGTGCTCGCTTTGTAACTAGTCCTTGGACTGTTGAACTGACATGCAAATAAACTGAACTGAATATTATACACGTAGATGCCCCAGCACGAACCGATAATTAATGGCATATTACTATTACTGACAGCCCATTCGAAGCCAAAAGCCCATCTAAATAATCTTCGAAAAATCTGTTTATTTCCCACAGAAAACATGTCGACTCCATTACAAGGGCCATTCGGTTAATCTTGCGACAAAGAACGTACGTACACCTGTGTGCGAACCGTGAAGTCTCTTGGGCGCTACAGCAAGCGCTGCTTTATGGGTCAAGACCCAATGGGCACTGGAAAGGAAAGTTCTGGGGATACTTAACAGCCGTCGCACTAAATGGATATGGGCGGTATCGCGTTCCTTAGCTCAACTACGCTTACCAGCTGTAAACGCACAGAGAGCCTTAAATGATCGCGCGGTTATGGAATAAATGAACCGGGAGTCATGGCCGTCCCCCTTACACGGTACGTGAGACACTTCATACACTGGCAAAGGTCCAAATGATCTACATACTTTTTTCCTGTGCATGGAATGGATAAAGACTATTTAAAATGGTGCAGTTTCCGTAAAATATTGTGATGTATAGACCCGTCTCTAGACAGTGGCCGCGAAACAAACAACGAAAGAACATTCGCTGCTAGATATCAGATTTTAATAAGCAAGAACAGAAGGCCTCCGTTAGGGAACGGCTCGGTAGACATGTTCCCACGGTAACGGATACTCATGCAAGAAATAGACGTACTGTTGACAAAGGTCAGTATACGGGAATGAACAGTGTGTTGCCTACGTGGGCTGCGCCGAGGAGTTATAAGGAAGAAAACTGGGGCAACTAAGTCAGTTCTTCGTAGAAGCCTGTGAAGAAAAGAGTCAGTTGGAAGGGAGCCGCCATTTAGAGTGAGCCTGAGCGCGAAAGCTGAAAAATCTCTACTGTTAGAAGCCGCTACCAGTAGCGTCTGGTGACGACACAGGAGGCTGGAAAAGACATAGCGTGTGCTGTGATTTGCTAATTCCTTGTAGTTCCGAGTTGCGTGTATAAGTAGTCAATAAATCCAATATTCAATAAAAAAACATGTCGACAATGCCACTCAAAATAGTGACAAGTTCCTGTGCATGGCTTGAGTAAGTCGCTTCCGTCGGGAAAGATACGTTATATAAGTTTCACTGAAACCAGAAGTGGCAACGGCTGAGAAATGCCGCGCAGTAGTGACGTCATCCGACGGCGGGAGACGCCGATACAGCCCGAGTAACTGCAACAGCCGATTTGGACTGGGTATGAAGCGAGCTATTTCCAGCGCACTTTCCTGGTACGGTATAGACACTCCACTTCAACATGTGCCCACAGAGCCGCCGAAAGCAGCGTGTCGGGAGATCCCGGGTTCAAATACTGGTCCGGAAATCGTCTATCCTGATCAGGAGCTTCTGAGGAATTGTTGAGTAACCGGGAGACTGTTGGCTTCTCAAGATGGACTCAGCTCCATGGTGTTAGTTAAATGAGTTCTGTATGCTTCTCAGAATAAAAAGCAATTATTTTTCCGTACAAACACCACTAACCAACTGGTTGCTATAACGGGCAAGCAGTGCTTTCTGTGAGGTACGAAATCAGTTCTTAAATATAAGATCAACTTCTGACCCAGTGCCTGAGGGTGTAACCGGGCCACCCTGTTCCCGGGGGATATAAATACGGAGACCTGGCCCTCCAGGTTGGGGAGCCTCCAATCTGAGACAGTAAAATATGGTCATGGGTCCCGCGGAACTCGGACC